GAAGGATGTCCCCTCTGACTACGGATTTTCACTTTCCTCTGGGCTAAATAGCCATCAGATAGACACATCACTTCCGTGATAGTAATATTATTGATGCAGCCAGACGGTCTGGATAAATACACCCCCTAACGCTTGAGCGTGGTAATTTCAAAATTCAAAAATTCAAAATTCAAAATGAGGAATCCTTACTACACGGTCATAACGAGAAGAGAAGTGAAAAAGATAAATGCAATCAAATACGATAGGCCATGACCAATTCACAATCCCTCGAATCTGATGAGTTTTTTTAAAACGGAATAAAAATCTCATGGATCATTAAACAATTCTTTTTGTCAATCCATAATTTCCGATGTCTGCATCATAATTAATAGGATGTTAGACAAAATAAAAAGAAAATGAGAAAGGAGGGTATGAAAAAGGCTGAAGGTAAAAGGCCATAGTTCAGAAGAAATTCATGTTTACTTACAAAGAAACGATCGGTTCTAAGCAAAATGTTTAAAAAATAAACTGGTAAAGATATCTATGGCAAGCTTTACCACATAGACACCGGAACAATCATCACAGATTCGAACCGATAAAATCAGAAATGGAAATGCAGTTGACAACGTATTTTTTCGATAGAAATGTGATAGATTCAGACACGCCATGAAAAAAAAGAGAATTCGAGAAAATAATTTAAGTGAAATCCCTACATAATGGATCTGTTAGTTAGGATCATTAGACTTGGATACGCTGAACGAGTGTGAGAGGGATTTACTTCTGCTCGGAGGCCATTTGTAAAATCGTCTTCGAAATGATATCGAACACTTCTTCGATCTGAAAACGACTGAGTCAGGCTTCACTTACGAAAATTACCTCAAATAAAAAAAAAATTGGCGACAAAAAAACGAAACCAAAAAAAACAAAAACATAAAGGAAGCAGCAAAATAAAATTTTCATCATGAAAACTATGAATCCCCTTTTTTTAGTAGAATTTAGGAATATTTTTCTGCCCGGAAAACCTACTCAGAGTAGTATTCAAATAGATTTAGAATCCCTCCAGCTGAGAGCTATAAATTCAATTTCTACTATTTTGTATCCCTGCTTCGATATTTACATTTTTAAATATTATTTAAATTATTTGATGTTTAATAAGGTGTTTACAGTAAAATATCGTTCTGACCTGAGCCTTGTTGATACACAGTGGTGGAGTGAATCGAATGATGTCGCCATGGGTATTCTTACACAAAACTCCATTAGCCAGTAACCGATTGCATACCGTCCAAGCATCGAATTCTAAACAATTTTGTAATCCAGTACTGTTTTTTCAGTTTGGTTTTTCACGATCCGGCCTGAGCTATTTTGCCTCCTCCCCCTTATATATTAGTTCATTAATAGGCATACAGCAATTCTGAACATCTACTAGAAGTATAATGTAAAATACCCATATGAAATTGCAGTATTAAGTTGGGCTGAAAGAATCTGCCGAAGTAAAAGTAATCCAGGTCTCTCCCGAGGATTTCTGGAAGCTTCTAGAGAAATATGTACTATAAAAACGGCCAGTATTGAACTCCTGAAGAATTACATGTACATAGGAGTAGATAGTTCGGTCATTATGTGGTTAAATAAGCAAGAAAAGGTATCCGGGTATATTATGCGTATGAGTGTGGGTAGTGCCCTTACATAGAGACCTCATGGGGGTATCCAGAAAATCCCAAGAGGAATTTGGGTTATTGCGAAACTACCGGCAGCATAAGAGCATCCAAAGTAAGACCGATACATTTTTGCGATATATCATACTACCGTACTTTTGTTGATGACGACAGCAATGAACAATCCTCGTCCACGGACTACCGACACGATTTCCTTAGGTAACGTTCGTAATTTGGACTGGAGCAATTCGCCCATTTTTGCCGAATTCTCGACGAGACCCTCGTCTTCGATCACCTGAAAACAGCCAACAATCGCTGGACCATTCAAAATAAACATCATAAAAGCAATCCCACCTTGAGGGCTTCGATAGCAGCCCGACAAGCCACCGGGTTTCCACCATACGTCGATCCATGCTGGCCTGGTTTTATATTTAGCATGATATGGTCATCGCAAAGAACTGCTGATGCCTAAATTGCATTCAGTTTCATTTGAGAATAATTTTTTTTACATATTTGGCGACAAGTAAGAGAAAATGAGGGCGAGAAAGGTCAATTGGCTAGGATGCGCCCCTAAAGAGGCTTCGCCAAAATTGGGAGGTCATGTACGGCAATGCTGGTCTTTTTGGATTCACTTCCTGAAAAGGATGTAGTGACCTGGCATGACTAGTTGAGAGCAACTAGCGCGGCAACTTGACCTCGATGACACGAGCGCAGCGGCACTTCCTGACCCATTGTCTTTCTGATAAACGCTGACTCGCCTCAAAACATGTTGGCAAGTCGCATAATAGAGCTCGCTGAGCTTCAACCATTCACTGAAAAAGGCACGTCCAAACTGCATGGCACTGAAAGAGTCCATCTAACTGCTATTCCCCCTTTGCCCCCTTTCCGAGATTGTGCCACTCAAGACACTTCAACTGGGCACGGGTCAGAGGATACAGCTATGCGCGGTGACCGCGATGGCACTTCTTGACCCACGCTTGACCGTGGGGAGATGGGAAAGAGACTGCTACCCTCAACCCAGCACACTCTACAACTTCGCCATAATGCGAACACTTCGAGCATGTGTCCTGTACTCGAAATAAATATTTCGTATATATTCTTATGACAGCTACAAAATTACCCACCGGATAGACACCACCAGAAAGAGCCTTTCCAAGAACGACAATGTCCGGCCGTACTCCGTCGTGGTAATGAGCCAACCACCTGAATTTGTCATGCTTCTCTAGATTCATTACTGCTACTGATTTGAAAATAAATATTCAAACTCGCACTATGTATCTAACGATTCATACATGGATTTTGCATAGGATTAAAGTTTACGGTTTAGCCAATTCCTTCTTCGTTTGTACATTCTCTTCTCTGATTACCTTTCCTAGGAATGCTCCACCAGCTGATGCCATCTACAAAGTGGCAGGTACAATTCGCTGCCATGGGCTTGGAGAGGTCCTTCTTGATCACGTTCCTCCATCTTCTTTTGGACACCCTCGGAATCGCCTCTATTGATGTTCAAATTCCATCACTTTCCTTCTCGCAAGTTCTCGGGCTCCTTGCAGTCTCGTCCATGCCGTTGCAGATGCTGCTCTGTCATCTTCAATTTAATGGTGGCAGTCTGAATGCCGACATCCTCCATCCTAACTTGATCCACCGCAGCCATCTCCATCTAAACACCTCATCTCTGAGTGGAGTTGCTTCCCGTAATTCTTCGTGCTGGCCAACTCTCACTGTTGTAGACCATTGTGGGCCTCCAGTCCCAGTCATTTCTGCAGTTTATGCTACAATTTTCTCCTGCTTAAAGCAATCTCATCTGCGTAGAAGATGGTCCTCAGTAGTTCCTCCATGAGGTCGACTGCTTTACCTTCGATGTTAGTAGAAATGGGAACGGAGTCGTTGTCAGAACTGACCTTTTGAGTTATGAGTGTCACAATTGAAAAGTTCGTGTACCAGGGCATGAATCAAATTTATACAACAAATATACATATGAAGAATAACTTCGTATTTTCGTCTTCAAAATTTGTTTCACTGCAGATGGCTTTTATGAAGTCAAAGCCCCATTCTATCATAAATGTCAATTTAGTGAGTAACCAATGGTTTTGGGGTACAAGAAGATTCTGCGAAGCGTTGAAAATTAACTGAAACGTAAAGCACGTACTCTCCAGTCCTTCCTAGACCCGATTGAATTTCGTCTGTGATGAACAACACATTATGCTTCTTACAAAGATCCTGTACGCCCTGAAAGCAGCCAAAATTCATGTGAACTGTTTTCAAGATATGCTTTCTTACTGTTTACGACTATCAATATTTATCGCCCATTACCTTCAAGTATCCCTTATCTGGCACGACTACACCGGCTTCACCTTGGATTGGTTCCACCATGAAGGCAGCCGTGTTTGGATCAGATATAGCTTTCTGAAAAAAAAAACACTTTCTGAAATTCGAAGCATCTGCGAGCAACTGCAGTTCACATTTTTTAGTGAAGGGATTAGACTTAAACAACAAATAAAAACATATGTAACAATAAATAACATAGTTTTCATGAGTCGTTTGACTGCTTTGCCCTTATGTAAATGTTCTAAAAGATTTTTTCTTGTTGAATATGAATTATTTTTCCAATTTAATGTCCAAAAGCTCTACAAAACCTTACTTCGAGTGCTGGCAAATTATTGTAGGGTACCCTCTCGAATAACGGTACAAAAGGTCCGAAGCCACCGTAGGATTCTGGGTCGCTTGATGCCGAAACGGCAGCTATTGAACGGCCCCAGAAGTTGTCTTCAGCGAATATCATCTGAAATTATACCGAAGAAGGTCTCCTTCAGAAAGTTCATATACCCAAAAAAAAGCTTTTGAAGAAGGATTCATAGAGATCTTTCAGAGCATGGCCATAATGCACTTAAGAATCCCTGAGGTTGAACAACAGTGATATGTAATAGTCTCTTTCGAATGAACACCCCTCTCCCCCCTCTCCCTCGGCTATGATTCTGTGATACACAGCAGCTCTTTGAAGCACCTCTTTAAAAGTTCTCCCGACAAAAGTTTTCGAGAGGACAACCCGACGGAAAACCTCAACTGGGCTCACCTTTGCTTTGTTAGTGGGGACTTTTTTCACATCATAAGCCCAACGTCGAGCGAGTTTTACGGCCGATTCAGCTGCTTCCACACCTGGAATAACGATGTGTACGAGTATATAATGCAGTGAACTCCCTATATCGGATCGATCTTACTACTACCAACCCAGAAGTATCGAAACCTGATTGCTGTGTGGGAAAAACTCTATAATGAAACAGTATCCTACAAATTCTGGCAGAACCCTGAAGGAGAAATTCTGAGTTACGCCATATTCTCAGTTGAACCCGGAGCAATTCTTTCAAATTCTAGGGCATAAGTAGGCTGTGAATGGTTTCATTTTTCTATTCGATTTCAGAAAAAAACCACTCTGCTGGTTATTTTCATCTTTCCATTTTTTCTGTTTATTTCACACCTTTATGGTTTTTTTGGAACTTTTTTCTTCGACTTGTGATTTTCAAACTTCTGAAACTTCACAGCGTGCCTTCCTGTTCAATCAATCTTTTCACACCCTCGGGTTTGTTTTCCGTAAATTTCAGTTACCCATGATGAGGCGTCATAAAAATCAAATCACAAAAATCAAAAAACAAATAATTCATCAAAAGTCATCAATCGCCTTCCATTGCCTCATAAACGCCTAGAACTACTTCGAGTTCTTATCATTTACTATACTGTTGCACATAGAGTAAAGTAAATTTATACAAACATTTACTAGAGTACATTACAGTAACCGTATTTACTACAGTGTAGTATGCTAGCTAAAAATACCCACAAAAAATATGGAAAATATGCTGAGCACCACCAGAGTTAGCGATGGAAACATTTTTGCCGTTCGAAAGGAATGTTCCACTGATGCTAAAAGGACCAAGCCCGACTAATACCACCTATCATCCACATATTTTATTCATTGAACATTTAAACGTAGATACTACGGGCCCGTTTATACTTGGATGAAATTTACTGCAGTTTCATTGAGCAAACAACAGAGACAACTTACCAGTATTCATAGGCAGAGCTTTGTCGTATTTGAATTTCTTGACTAGGAATTCTTCGTACTCGCCAAGCACATTGTTATAAAACGCTCGTGAAGTCAATGAGAGTACTTGCATTTGTTTTACAGCAGCCTGAAATGAGTAGGAAGTAACTTTTGTAAAAGGCTAAAGTCATGAGTCTTCTATTGGCAGCCAGGGCGATTTATACCAAATTTGCCGAATTGTTTATTTACATTCAGGCAAACAAACAAACAAATATACAGGTTAAAATAAAAAATTAGAGCTTCATAAGTCCTTGCAACTTGCACAAAATGACCATCTAGAGTTTGAGAAAAGATTCTACCACCATGTTAAGACCATATTATATTACATTATTCTTCTCATATAATAGTTATCATGTTGTTTTTGTTTACAATAGCGGAATAATTTCACTTGCATATTCATTGTGTTTATATATTTGTGTATATGTTTATATTTCTCCTGAGAAAAGCGACTTACCGCTACTATCCGAGGGTGGCAGTGGCCTTGATTGACGGCTGAGTATCCAGCAAGGCAATCGTAATACCTTTTACCAGCGACATCCCAAACGAATACGCCTGAAAATGAGCGTGGTAGTTCAACTATTTGGCTTTACTACATTACTGCCTAAGTGAACGGATGGGAAGGGTAGCAGACATTATTAAGCCACATCCTGTTCAATAAATAAAGCGTTTTATGGCATTTTTTCCCCGAAATTTTCTCCAGCGTGACCCACTTGAGCTCTCTTTTACTATTGGGGAAGGAGATACTCGAAAAGACTGAGTTCGCAGTGCTCCTAGGATAATTATACTCGAACGACATGCCGCGCAACGAGACAACTAGCAAAGAGCTGCCGCATGCTTTCAGAGGATTGAGTACAATGCCACATGCCTAGCCCACCTTAAATAGTGGTCCCAACCGTTCTAGGACTCTTAGTGTATTGTAGAATGTCCACCCTTTTAAATTACCGGTAAAACTCTCGGCTGCTTCTCTCTCCGTCTATGGACTTCATTGAAATGGTCGAGAAAACATCATCTCAGTAAAGTTTGAGAAACAAATTTCTAGGAAACGTGCAAAACTTAAAACCATGAGGTTCTATCGAGTTTCATATCCTACTGGTACTGCTGAATTACACTAAACACCTTTAGGATCGATAGAATCAGAAAGGAGCTTACTTTCTGACCTAACGAGTCTGACACAATACACAGCCCTAAAAGGGTCTATGACACATTCATTACCAATGGTTTGGCCATGCACGGACAGTCCAATCCAGACGATATTTCTTGTTTCGATTCATTTTTTTACAGACGATCACCAAATTTTTGCTATCCGCTATAACAAATCCACCATTTTTCTTTTCATTGAGAACCAAATTAGGCAGGGTTGGCACGGAATCAACTTGCGACTAACCTTCTCCTTTAGCCAATGCTACTGGTAAAGGTTTGTAGTTATGACAACCATATTTTGCCTCTCTATCAAAAACTTCTTGAGCCGTGACTAGAAGTGATCGTGATGTGGAAAAACGTCTCGTTAGTCGAAGTGTGGACATCATTTTGGAGACGAATCCCTGAAAATAATGGATAAGTGGTAGGAGGTAAATCTCCGTTATCGATAGGGAGAAAAGCGGATGAAGGGCGAAGAAATTCATGTAAATGGACGGTGCAGGAATTAATCAATGACCATATAAAATCGATGATCCACGGCCATTTTGTGACCAGGTGAGTGGATGAAAATGAATTATATTCTTACAATCATTCATCATCATCAGCCTCCTGATCTTTTACATTTTACAATATATAAGATCAGGAGGCTCCCAGTTTGGATTGTGGGTGAGAATGTAGTTAGGAGTTTGGGCCGGGGATATGCATTGTCTTAACTAGACCTCAGGGGAGTGGAACACCCAGGTGGACGAGTTTTCAGCTTTTCGCACGAGGTAATCATCCCACCCATCCCGGTACTCTTCCCGTCCTGGGGCTTAGTTTGAAAAAACTACATCCCCTGGGTAAAACCGCATAAGAGCGCACAGGTAACCGGTGCCCATCTTCCTCTACATGTCCGATATACAGTGTAAGCTATCGTTCCAGAAATTAGCATATCGATTTATCGATTTTATTGGAAGCATTTGTCAATCACTCCGTTGATTCGAATTCCGAATTACCACAACTGAAATGTAGATAAACAAATATATGCCCCGACTACAAATTCTCCATAGAACCACTTGGAATGAGGGACCAACTGACGTATTAATGATAGGAATTTTATGATAATTTCACTATAAAAGGATAATAATCGATTGCGCACATGAAGCGAGCGAAAACCAAATAATTCATCAAAACCTACAGAATGAGGTCCTGGTGGTTTCGGCCGTTGATTTCGGGCAGCAAA